CATGCCATCTCAAAGGAAAAAAAAAGAAAGAAAGAAACCCAGCAAGGATTGGATTGGGACAGGTGCCTCTCAGGGATTTTAGGGTTTGGGCAGCTTCTAGGAGATAGGAGAGCTTCAGCCTCTGACTTATCTGGGGCTACCTTGGAAGGGAGTGTGTAACAGACACCAAGGTGAGCATTTCAGAAGAAAAGCCTCACCCAATAAAAACCCCTGGAGAGCAAACAGGAAATTCCATAACCACCTGGCAGAGAGGGGCAGGCAGGGCCCCACTGGGAGGAAGCAGCAGCTAGCCTTCCTTACATGGCCTTGCCAGGCCTTCCACCTCCGCTCCTCCAGAGACACAAAGGCAAAGCTAGGAGGGTGCCCCACTGGTCTCCTTTCCCAGTAAGCTCAGATCAACCTTTGTCACAGACATGAGTAATTGGTGAAATGACTGTTAAGAGTTTCAGGGGTGGGGAAGTGGCGATCTGATGATGTAAGGTGATCTCAAAGTTGGTTTCCAGTTTTGCTTTTTAAAAGCCTAATTGTATTAGGGGGCCTGCATACTGTTTTCTGCACCTTTCAACAGGTACTTTAGAAAGGAGAAAAAACTGCCTGGCCCGGTGGCTCATGCCTATAATCCCAGCACTTTGGGAGGCCAAGGCAGGCAGATCACCTGAGGCCAGGAGTTCGAGACCAGCCTGGCCAACATGATGAAACCCCATCTCTACTGAAAATACAAAAATTAGTTGGGTATGGCATTGCATACATCTAGGTCCCAGCTACTCAGAAGGCTGAAGCAGAATTGCTGAAACCCACAAGGCAGAGGTTGCAGTGAGTCGAGATCATGTCACTGTACTCTAGTCTGGGTGATTGGGGAAAGCTCTGTCTCAAAAAAGAAAAAAAAAAAAAAAAGGGAAATGGGTGTATTTAATCCACACAAGTGGGTGCTTGTGAACTAGGTCAACCCCTCAAACAGCCAAAGCTCAACCCTGAAATATAGGCCCTATGTTCCCAAGGCCAGACTGTAGAGCAAGCAAGGGAAGAAATCAATCACTGGAAAGCCTGCCAGCTTTTTTCCACCCTTGAATCAACTTACAGTTGTGGTCACTAGGCTAATACTTCTGAGATCCTAAACTGTCTAACAGCCTGGGTTTCTCAAACCAGTGTGTGCTAAGAGGAAGGAAAATAAGCAGCAACTCTGAAGAACTGGTTTATTACAGTTTAGTTTTTTTTGTTTCTTTTAACAATCTTCATTCTAGAAGCTGGAGAGGAACCAATGGAATAAATATAAGGTTGAGATCGTGGGGTCAGCCATGGAATGGGGCAGAGAGTGACCCTAGCAAACCACTACAAAGTCCCCTGAGTTCAGTTAAGACCCTACAGCTGACCAGGCATGGTGGCTCATGCCTGTAATCTCAGCATTTTGGGAGGCCGAGGCAGGTGGATCACCTGAAGTCAGGAGTTCGAGACCAGCCTAGCCAACATGGTGAAACCTGTCTCTACTAAAAATATCAAAAATTAGCTGGGTGTGGTGGCACATGCCTATGATCACAGCTACTCCGGAGGCTGAGGCAGGAGAATCGCTTGAATCTGGGAGGCAGAGTTGCAGTGGGCCAAGATCCCACCTACACGACAGAGTGAGGCTCAATCTCAAAAAACAAAAATGACAAAGACCCTACAAGCTACCAGTGCACACAAAGTGACAGGTTTCAAGTTTCAGAATTCCCAGAGTAAATTCTCCATGAAGCCAATGTCTAAACCTGGTGATAGTGTTATATCCATCCCTTCATTTCCCTGCACTATCCAAGGAGAGCTAAGCCACATCCCAAATCCTAGCTGCCTTTTAAAATCACAAGCCAGTTCCTGAGATGGAATATGCGATTTTACCAGAAGGGCACTTCCATCCTGGGGCAATTCCACATTGGACTGGTACAAGTAGACCCCACAGTCCAAAAAAGCCAAAAAAAAAAAAAAAAAAAATATATATATATATATATATATATATATATATATATATATATAAAATGTCCTGAAATCTGTTGTGTGGGAGTGGGATCTGTGAACATAAAGGGAACTAAAACCAACCTGCCTCTTCCCACTAAACCATCAGCCCCAATGTCCGCCGCCACCTCCCACCTGATCTGACCCATCTCCATCATCACTAGCCCCTCTTGGAGGCTCCACCCTATCAACAACTCCATTCTCAGCTTACTTCATGGGACACTAATTCCCCAAACACCTTTTTTGTTTTTGTTTTTTTCAGACTTTTGAGGTGAAAAACAAGGAGAAAAAGGAAGAGGAAAGACCAACTGTAGATCCTTCAGCAGATTACAGAATTCCTTTATGCCTCAGTTTCCTCACTTGCAAGATAGGAAGAATAGTGCCCACTGCCCTAATGTTCTAGTGAAGACTAAATGAGGTAAAATATGTGAGGGACTTGCCCCAGAGTCTGAGGCAAAAGTGAAGACATGTCACTATTGAATTATTAAACTATTAATATGTAATAATATTATTATTGGTCAGACACAGGAGCTTAGAAGGGAGAAATAAAAACCAGACCAACCCACCCTCAGTGCTACCAACTATCTTGGTGCAGGAAAACAAAGTCACCAGCCTTAGCACTGGGACACCCCAGATGCACGCTCAGATACAAGCTTGTTTCTAGCCCCTGCCTTGCTTTCCAAAGCTGGATCAAATTTGCCTCCCCAGAGAAGCCAATCCTCAATGCCTATTGACATCAAAATATCCAAGGCTGCACAATGGTTCACATCTGTAACCCCAGCACTTTGGGAGGCCAGGGCAGGTGATTGACTTGAGCCCAGGAGTCTGAGGCAACTTCTGATCCAATAGAAAGCTCTAGAGCACACAGAGCAAATATGCTTCATCAATCAAGCTGTAGCTTCTCTGTAAAAACCACCACCCAGGCTCATGCCTGTATTCCCAGCACTTTGGGAGGCTGAGGTGGGTGGATCACGAGGTCAGGAGATCGAGACCATCCTGGTCAACATGGTGAAACCCTGTCTCTACTAAAAATACAAAAAAATTAGCTGGGCATGGTGGCATGTGCCTGTAGTCCCAACTAGTCGGGAGGCTGAGGCAGGAGAATTGCTTGAACCCAGGAGCTGAGATCGTGCCATTGCACTCCAGCCTGGGTAACAAGAGCAAAACTCCATCTCAAAAAAAAAAAAAAAAAAAAAAAAAAAAGAATTTTATTGTGATACTCACCCAATCAACTGAAATCATGAGAGAGGAGAAAGTAGTTTGATATAAAGTAAGCACCTGGGATTCAGTGAAACCAGAAGAGGAACTAGCCCCTTCCCTTGTTCCCTGGACAACAGTTAAGCAGAACAAAGCAAACTCTAGATTATCACAATGATAAGGCCTAGAAGTACATTGGATGTTTGTATGCATTTTTATCCTGAGTCAGAACTACCATGCTTTTTAAAAAACATTATTCCTGGATTGCCAGGCGCGGTGGCTCAAGCCTGTAATCCCAGCACTTTGGGAGGCCGAGGCGGGTGGATCACGAGGTCGAGAGATTGAGACCATCCTGGTCAACATGGTGAAACCCCATCTCTACTAAAAGTGCAAAAAATTGGCCGGGCGCGGTGGCTCAAGCCTGTAATCCCAGCACTTTGGGAGGCCGAGGCGGGTGGATCACGAGGTCAAGAGATTGAGACCATCCTGGTCAACATGTTGAAACCCCGTCTCTACTAAAAAAAAAAATACAAAACATTAGCTGGGCATGGTGGCGTGTGCCTGTAATCCCAGCTACTCAGGAGGTTGAGGCAGTCTCAAAAAACAATAAAACAAAACAAAACAAAAAACATTATTCCTTGGGAGAAATATTATCTGTATCAAGATGTTTCGGTCCAGGCAGTGTCTCAGGTCTGCAATCCCAGCACTCTGGGAAGCTGAGACAGAAGAATCTCTTGAGCCTAAGAGTTCCACACCAGCCTGGGCAGCATGAGGAGAGTCCTGTCTCCAAAAGAAATTTTATTTTATGAGATGGAGTCTTGCTCTGTCACCCAGGCTGGAGTGCAGTGGTACCATCTCAGCTCACTGCAACCTCCACCTCCCGAGTTCAAGCAATTCTCCTGCCTCAGCCTCCTGAATAGCTGGGATTACAGGTACATGCCACCATGTCCAGTTGATTTTTTAATTTTTTTAGTAGAGACAGGGTTTCACCATGTTAGCCAGGCTAGTCTCGAACTCCTGACCTCAGTGACTCTGCCCACTTGACTCCTGACTCTGCCCGCCTTGGCCTCCCAAAGTGCGGGGATTACAAGTGTGAGCCACCATGCCCACCCTAAAAAAATTTTTTTTAATTAGCCAGGCATGGTGGCACATGCCTGTGATATCAGCTACTAGGGAGGCTGAGGTGGGAAAGATCACTTGAGCCCAGAGGATGGAGGCTGCAATAAGCTATATGATTGCACCACTGTACTCCAGCCTGGGCAGCAGAGCAAGACCCTGTCTTTAAAAAAGAAAGTTTTAATCTGTATAAACAAAAGCCCCAGCCCAGTAACCAGGAGAGGGTTGCTATTCAGTCATTCTAGAGATGGTGCTTAATGGAGCATGAGAGTCAGATCCCAGTTCAGATACCTGCTTTGCTGACCCTGGGCAACTAGAAGTCACCCTCTGAGCCTCGGTTTGCTCATCTGTAAAACGGGAATACTCCCACCAGGCCTTCACACCCAGCAGGTTTTTGCAGTCTGAAATGAGACACTGTCTCTACAGTGCCTCAGGGCAGTAAGAGAAACACGAAGGCTTCTAGTAAATGCCCTCAACCTCTGCTTCTTTATTACATAGTTAACAACCAGGCAGGGCTACCTCCTCCACCACAGTGCTCAGTCGTAAACATTTGGATCCCCAAATCGGTGTAAATTCCAAAGGAGTGTCGGTTGAGCCAAGGAGGGAGCTTGCCCATTCCAACCCAGGGGAGTGGGAGTGCAGTTTCTCGGCCCCTTTCCAATCCTACCCCACTCCGCTCATAGACACCGGCGGCGCGCCCTCACCTCTGCCCAGGACGCGGCCTCTCTCCAGATGCCGCCGAGGCACCTTGAACGTGTAGCTCTCGGAGTCAAAGCCCGGGTGGCAGGGCTCCGGCTCCTGGCAGAGCCTAGACGAGACCTGGGGTGGGGGAAAGGTAGATGAAACTGGGTGACTCGGAGGGTCCCCTCCTGCTCACACCGAAACCAACAGCGCCGCCCCTCCCTTGCTCCCGGCGTCGGGATTCGGGAAGGACCCCCGCCCCCAGCCCCCGGCTGGCCGCGACGTCACCCTCCCCTACCCCGAAACCCGCGGTGGCCAAGCCCCCAGGAACTCTCAAGTGGGACGGGGGGCGGGGGTGGGAGCGCCGGGTCACCCCCTCTAGACCTAGCCCACCTTTCCTTCCGGTCTCTTTTCTTGTTTTACTGGAGATGTCTTCATTCTCCCCAACTCCACTTTCCTTAGACCGGGAACGCGCTAGTCCTCAGAGCAAGGGGCTCTCCCACCTCCTCCGACCCCACTTTCTTACCCCTGAGACCCCCATTCCTATTTACAACGTTTCTTCGCATGGCAGATGCCTTTTTTTCTACGGATACCCCTCTCCCTCCCTCGGGGATCGTCCCTACCTCTCCTGCCTCCCCCTCGACTTGCACCGGGGCTCCCCTTCTCCACACTCCGCCTTCCACCCCGCTCAACGCCCTCAGCGCCCGCCCGAGCCCACCCCGCGAAGCCCGCGGCCAGGCGCCCCAGCTGAAGGGGGCGGCAAAGCAGCGCTCGCCCCTCACCACCTCTCCACTACCATCACCGCGGGGTCCGGAGCGCGCGAGGCTTCAGGCCGCTAAGCTCCTCGGGACCCGAACTTTCTTGGAAGAAGGGAAGCAGTGACGACGGGAGAGGAAGGGGCGCGGGGCTGGGGCGCAGAGCGTGCTTCCCTCGCAAGGCCGGGGACCCGAGGTACCTGCAGCAGCAGCAGCAGCAGCAGCGCGGAGTGGCTGCGGCTCGAAGGGCCCATGGTCGGCCGGGGACGCCGAGCGAGTGCCGGGGCCGGGTGCGGTCGGGTCGGGCCGGTCTGGGCCGGGCTGGAGTCTGAAAGGACTTTCGCGAGCTCACAGGTGCTTTGAGGCTCCGACGACACTGAGAGGGGCGGCGCCGCGGCCGCCAGGTGAGCCTCGGAGGCACCGCCTCCGGCTCCGCTGATTGGCTGAGGGTGCACCTGCCGGCCGTAGCCAATCAGCAGCGCGGAACCCTCCCCCGCTGGAATGACTGCCCGCCCGCGCCCCCGCACTTCGGCCTCCGGCAGACCGGGTGACCCTACCAGTCTGGAGTTGCTAGGATCTAGATGGGTTATGGGATCTGCACATGGTTCTGATTCCACTGGGTTCGAATCCCAGCCCCGCCGGTGCTCACTAAGACAGGGGATCAGAAAGGACTTTTACACTTGACTGAATTCTTTTTGTTTTTTGTTTGTTTGTTTGTTTGTTTGGAAATGGGTTCTCGCTCTTTCGCCCAGGATGGAGTACAGTGGGGCGATCACAGATCTCTGCAGCCTCGAACTCCTGGGCTCAACCGATTCTCTTGCCTCAGCCTCTCTAGCAGCTGGGACTGCAGGTGCACACCACCATGCCAGACTACTTTTTTTTTCTTTTGTCTTTTTGTAGGGAGACGAATCTGGGCAGATAGGGGAAGTAGGGGCGCTGTATCTCCCTGTATTGCCTAGCCTGATCTTGAACTCCTGGACTGAAAGGATCCTCCTGCCTTGGTCTGACAAAGCGCTGGGATGACAGGTGTGAGCCATGAGCCACTGAGCGAGCAGCTTTTTTTTTTTTTTTTTTTTTTTTTGAGAAGGAGTCTGGTTCCATCTTGCCCAGGCTAGGGTACAATGGCACGATCTCGGCTCACTGTAACCTCCACCTGCCAGGTTCAAGCGATTCTCCTGTCTCAGTCTCTCAAGTGGCTGGGACTACAGGTGTGTGCCACCACACCAGCTAACTGTATTTTTAGTACAGATGGGCCTTCATCATGTTAGCCAGGCTGGTCTGGAACTCCTAACCTCAGGTGATCCACCCTCCTCAGCCTCCCCAAGTGCTAGGATTATAGGTGTGAGCCACTGCACCAGTCCTCGAACAGCCTAATTAAATAATAATAATTGGCCGGGCGCGGTGGCTCAAGCCTGTAATCCCAGCACTTTGGGAGGCCGAGGCGGGTGGATCACGAGATCAAGAGATCGAGACCATCCTGGTCAACATGGTGAAACCCCGTCTCTACTAAAAATACAAAAAATTAGCTGGGCATGGTGGCGCGTGCCTGTAATCCCAGCTACTCAGGAGGCTGAGGCAGGAGAATTGCCTGAACTCAGGAGGCGGAGGTTGCAGTGAGCCGAGATCGCGCCATTGCACTCCAGCCTGGGCAGCAAGAGCAAAACTCCGTCTCAAAAAAAAAATAAATAAATAAAAATAATAATAATAACAATAATAATAATACTTCTAGAGATGGGATCTCATTATATTGCCCAGGCTGGTCTCAAATTCCTGACCTCAGGTGATCCTCCTGCTTCAGCCCCTTCATTGAGTTCTTATTTTTTAATCTAGTCTTTTTTAACTGTAGGGCTCCATGGGTTAGTGAGTCAGCAAAGTAATTCCCTAGATCAGGACCACCTCCTAAAACCTCAGTTTCTCCACCCTCCTAATGGGAATAATGATCGGAAATGTCTCCCTATGTTGTTGTGAGGCTCTCACACAACTAAAACAACCAATGTTTCTTGAGCCATAAATGCTCTGTACAGATGTGAGGGGCAAAAATAGTAACAATAGGTGCTGGGCATTAAAGATTATTGTGCCAGCCTCTGTGCTAAGCATTTGACACTAACCAGTTCTTTTTTTTTTTTTTTTTTTTTTTTTTGAGACAGTCTCGCTCTGTCGCTTATGCTGGAGTGCAATGGCATGATCTCGGCTCACTGCAACCTTCGCTTCTTGGGTTCAAGCAATTCTCCTGTCTCAGCCTCCTGAGTAGCTGGGATTACAGGCATGTGCCACCACGACTGGCTAATTTTTGTATTTTTAGTAGAGACGGGGTTTCACCATCTTGGCCCGGCTGGTCTCAAACTCCTGACCTCAGATGATCCACCTGCTTCAGCCTCCCAAAGTGCTGGGATTACAAGCATAAGGCACCTCGCATAGCCACTGACCGGCTCATTTAAGCTCATTTCAAAACAACCTAAAAGCTGTATTATTATTTCCATTTGATAGATGGGCAACTGAAGCTTAGAAAGGTTGAGGCCAATGAGAGGCGGCACAGGACTAGAACTGACCTCTCTGATTCCAGGGCCTTTCGTCTAACAACCAGCTTCATCTCATGTAGTCCCAGACAGTCTTCCAGGTGGAGCTGCAGTTTTTAGTCTGTTTTTTGATGTTGACCTGGAAGAGACCTTTAGAGACCATCCAAACCTATGATTTGCAAATAACTTGTTCAATGTCACACAGGCAGGTAAATGTCGAAGCTAAGACCAGAATCCAGGATCTCCTGACCCCCCGAGTGGGGCTTTTAATGCCACAGCCACATCATGGCCACCACCACCTTGTCCAGGGAATTCTGTCCCCAGTAAAATAATTTTAGGAGAATAGAATAGATGGGGGGCCAAGGTCTCAGGTCCTGGACCAGTGGCACTCCAGCACCCACCATCCTCCATCAAAAAACAAAAACAGAATAGACTGGCAAATGTTAGATTAGACAGCTTCCCTGTCTGACTGCCTGTGGCCAGCCATGTCTGGGTGGTTTGTCTACCCTGACAAGGACACCTCCTTTCCCTTTATTCTCCAAGCATGATCAGAACTACACAGCATTAAGTGGAGTCAGCCACTCACTAGCCCTATGACTTTGGGGAAATCAGTGTTATCCTTTGTATAAGTGAGTTGGCATGAGCTAATACAAAAACAATCACTAAGCAGAGTTCTTGGCTCATCATAGCAGCTGCTCAATAAATATTTGAAGTGGGGGTTATTCTTTCAAAAGGCCCACCCCCTATTTCCCTTCCTCCTGGGGAAGGCATGTTTGGAATATTTCAACCAGAGCTAAAGGTGCCTCTGAGCCCACTGAGGGTACTGTCTCAACTGCAGAGGATTTCTGGACAACCCAGCAGCCCAGCCCCCACTCCAACCTGTCCCTCAATTGTAATGGGTTTCCAATCAGGCCTTTTGGATGTCTGTATCTTGGCTCCCTCTGCTCTTAACCCACCAGGAGGCTCAAAGGGAAAAGGCTCTGGTATTTCCTTTCCCGCTAGGATGGTGCTTTGAACAAGATAATGGAAATACAGAAAGAGGCGTTTCCCCCATGGGGCTGCACTGTCTGCTTATTTTTTTCTCCCAGTTATGTAAAAATACATATTTTATACCATCGCTGGGCCCAGGGAGCCTTTGGGGCTTTACTTTCTTCTACCCAGCAAACCTTGGCCTTGTAACTCTGCAGCGACTCTCATCGACTCTTCCATTACACTCTGATAATTCAATAAAAAGGATTTTAGAAAACAATTAGGGGCAGCAAAGTCAGGTCAGTCCTGATGTGCTCTTTAGACTTCTCAGCAAGTCCTTCTCCAGGCTCCTAAGAGAGCAGATCAGGTGTCCAGGGTGAGGCGGAAACACAGAGGAGCTCCTTGTGGAAAACAGGTGCTGTGTGACTTTGGAAACGCACTAAATTGCCCTGTTTCCTCTTTTTTTTTTCTTTTGGTACAGGGTCTTGCTCTCTTGCACAGGCTAGAGTGCAGTGGTGCGATCTCGGCTCACTGCAGTCTCTGCCTACCAGGTGCAAGCGATTCTCATGCCTCAGCCTCCTAAGTAGCTGGGATTGCAGATACATACCACCACGGCTGGCTAATTTTTATATTTTAGCAGAGATGGAGTTTTGCCATGTTGGCCAGGCTGGTCTCAAACTCGTGGCCTCAAGTGACCCGCCTACCTTGGCCTCCTAAAGTGCTGGGATTACAGGCGTGAGCCACTCTGCCTGGCCTCTGTTTTTTCTTCTATCAAACAGGGATACCTCAGCCGGTCTGGTGGCTCACAACTGTAATCCCAGCACTTTGGGAAGCCATTTGGGAGGTGAGAAGATCACTTGAGCCTAGGAGTTTGAGACCAGTCTGGGAAACATAGCGAGACCCCATCTCCCCACTCCCAATTATTTTTAATTAGCTGGGCATGGCAGTGCATGCCAGTAGTCCCAGCTACTCTGGAGGCTGAGGTAGGAGGATCATTTGAGCACAGGAGGTTGAGATTTCAGTGAACTATGACCACACCACTGCACTCCAGCCTGGATTCACTTCTGGCTCTGCCATTAGTTGAGCAGCTTAAGTGACTTTATCTCCACCATCTTGGTTTCTTCATCTATCAAATGGGGATGTTGACAGCACTTAATTTGTAAGGTTCTTGAAAATACTCTACAAATGTGAGTGATTAGCCTTCTTGGATCAATACATTCCTTCCTAGTTCTAGGCAAAACTGTGGGCCACCTGGAGCTTCCCCAGGCTCTCCTTCCCCAACCTTGCCACTAAAGCTCCTCAGTTATCTCTTGCATCTGCTGGAAAAAATTCTTTCATTTGAACCTCCCAGGGCCATCTGCACTTTAAAGAGGGCTCTAAAGAAAGACTTTGCCAGCAGTGGCTAAAGCCTATATAATCCCAGTACTTTGGGAGGCCGAGGCAGGCAGATCACGAGGTCAGGAGACGGAAACCAACCTGGCCAACATGGTGAAACCCTGTTTCTATTAAAAAAAAAAAAAATACAAAAAATTTAGCTGGGCGTGGTGACACACACCTGTAGTCCCAGCTACTCAGGAGGCTGAGGTAGGGGAATGGCTTGAACCTGGGTGGCAGAGGTTGCAGTAAGCCGAGATCATGCCACCACACTCCAGCCTGGGTGACAGAGTGAGACTCCGTCTAAAAAAAATTTAAAAACTGCTTCTTTCAAAGGAGTTGTAAATGCTGTCCAGGGCTCTTAACCTGGTATCTGTGGATGGGCTCTGGTGGGGTCTGTGAATCTCCTTAGCCTGTATGCAGACCTGTCCGTGCAGGTGATAAGGCCCATTGCTTCCTAACGTCTCAACTGGGGAAAACTCAAACTTCAGAAGTTGAGCTCTC